GCATATATCCATATGATCATGTGATTTTTATTCTTCATTGTTTATGTGGTTAATCACATTTATTGATTTGTGGATGCTGACCAACATTGCATCCTCAGAATAAATCCCACTTGATCGTGGCATGTGATATTTGAAATTTAGTGCTGAATACAGTTTGTTAATATTTCTTGAGGATTTTAGCATGTGTTCATCAGGGATATTGGCCTATAATTTTCTTAGTGTCTTTATCTGGTTTTGGAATTAGAGTAATGCTGGTCTCATAAAATGAGCTTGAGACACTTTCCTTCTCTTAAAATTTTTGGAGTAGTTTCAGAAGAACAGGTCTTAGTTCTTTTTCAGTGTTTGGTAAAATTTGCCTGTGAGGTCATCAGGTCCAGGGCTTTTGATTGTTGGGAGTTTTTTGATTACTACTTCAATTTCATTAATTGTAGTTGGTCTATTCAGATTTTCTGCTGCTTTGTGATTGAGTTTTGGAAGATTGTATGTTACTAATAATTTACCCATCTTGTCCAGATTGTTGTCATATAGTTGTTTGTAATGTTTTCTTACAATCCATCGTATTTCTGTCTAGTCAGTTGTTACTTCATTTTCATTTCTGATTTGATTTTATTAACTTTCTTTTTCTTGATGAGTTGGGTTAAAGGTTTGTCAATCTTGTTTATCTTTTCAAAGAACTAGCTTTTGGTTTCATTGATCTTTTGTGTCTTCTTTTAGACACTTGTGTATTTATGCACTGATCTTTATTATTTTCTACTGCTCATTTTGGGGTTTTTTTGTTGCTCTTTTTCTAGTTACTCTAAGTGTAAATTTTGATGATTTATTTGAGATTTTTCTTGTTTCTTGAGGTAGGCTTATAATGCTATGAATTTTCCTCTTAGGACTGCTTTCACTCTGTCCTTTATATTTTGGGTTGTTGTGTTTTTGTCATTTGTTTCAAGGTATCTTGATATTTTTTTCCTTGATCTCATTGTTAACCTGATTGTTTAGTAACATGTTATTTAGCTTTCATGTCTTTGTGTTTGTTTTTCAGTCTTTTTTCTTTTCTTAACCCTATACATAATCATTTTTATTGTGGTAAAATATATATAAGATTTAATATTATAACCATTTTTAAGTACATAATCCATAGCAGTAAGTACATTGGTGTTGTGCAACTATCACCATCATCAATCTACAGAACTTTTTCTTCTGTTTCTTGTTGGTTTCTTTTTTTCATTGAATTTATTAGGGCGATATTGGTTAATAAAATTATATATGTTTCTGGTGTACAATTCTATAATATATCACCTGTATACCAAGTGTTTTTCTTGTGATTGATTTTTAGTTTCATACCATTATGTCCAGAGAAGATACTTGATATGATTTCTATCTTCTTAAATTTATTGAGGCCTATTTTGTGTCCTAACCTGTGGTCTATCCTAGAAAACATTCCATGTACACTTGAAAAGTATGTATAGTCTGTTGCTTCAGGGTGAAATGCTCTGAAGATATCAATTAAATCCGTCTGATCTAGTGTATCATTTAAGGCAGTTATTTCCAGACAGATCAGATTTTCTCTCTGTCAACAGGATGTTAAAATCCCCTACTGCGGCTATATTGCTGTCAATCCCTTCCTTTAGATTTGCTTCATATATTTAGGTGTTTGGTGTTGGGTGCATAAATGTTTACGAGGGCTATATGCTCTTGTTGGTTTTGTTCCCTTTATCTTTCTATAGTGTCCATCTTTGTCTCTTAATGTAACCTTTGTTTTAAATTCTATCCCATCAAATATAGGTATTGATACCCAATTTTTTTAATTTACATTAAATGTCTTTTTTTATTGCTTTACTTTTAGTCTGTGTGTATTTTCATTCTGAGGTGGGTCTCTTGTAGACAGCACATACATAGATCTTGTTTTATCCACTCTGGTACCATGTCTTTTGATTGGAGCATTTAAGCCATTTACATTTAAAATGATTATTGATAGGTACATATGTATTGCCATTGTATTTGTTTAACTATGTTCCTCTGTTTTTTTCCTTCTTTTTAATGAAGACCTTTTAACAGTTCTTGTAATATTGGTTTTGTGGTAACAAACTCCTTTAGTTTTTTCTTGTCTGGAATGCTCTTTATTCTTCAAATTTATGATTTTTAAATGTTTTAATTTATTGATTGTAGAGAGAGAAGAAGGGGTGGGAGGGATAGAGAGAGAGAGAGAGAGAGAGAGAGATTGAGAGATTGACATGTTGTCTGTGAACTCATTGGTTGATTCTTGTATGTGCCCCAACCAGGGATTGAACCCACAACCCTGGTGCACTGGGATTACTCTCCAGCCAGCTGAGCCATTTGGCCAGGGCTCCTTCAATTTTAAATGATAGCCCTGCTGGGTAAGGCAGCCTTGGTTGTAGGCCCTTGCTTTTCGTCACTGACTATTTTATGCCAGTTTCTTCCGGCCTGAAATGTTTTTGTAAGACTGGCTGCTTCCAGTCTTACGTGGGCTCCCTTTGTGTGTGACTATCTCTTGCTGCTTTTAAGATTTTTTTGTCTTTAAACTCTGCCATTTTAATTATGCTGTTTCTTGATGTGGTCCTTTATGAGGACTCTGGCTTCCTGGATTTGTCTTTTTTTCCACCTGGTTAGAGAAATTTTCAGTTCTTATTTCAATAGATTCTGAATACCTTGCTCTCTTTTTTCCTGGTACCCCTATATGTGGATGTTGTTATGATTCATGTTGTCTCAAAGGTCTTCTAAACTATCCTCATTTTTAATTTTTTTTCCCTGCTCTGATTGGGTGCCTTCTGCTACCTTGTCTTCCAAATCTCTGATTCAATCCTCTGCTTCATCCAGATATTGTATTCTTCATTTTTGACTGGTTCTTTTTTTTTTTTTTAAATCATCACCCAAGGACATGCTCATCAAATTTAGAGAGAGGGAAAGGGAGGGAGAGAGAGAGAAAAACAAACATCGATGTCAGAGGGAAACACTTATCTGTTGCCTCTTGTACATGCCCTGACTGGGGACTGAACCCTCAACCTAGGCATGCACCCTGACCAGGAATCAAACCCACGACCTTTTGGTCTACAGTATGATGCTCCAACCAACCAAGCCACACTATCCAAGGCTGACTGGTTCTTTTTCACTGCTTCTGTGTCCTTTTTCATGCTTACTAACTCTTTGTTTAAGATCTCACTGATTTCATCCATCTTCCCCTAAGTTCCTTGAGCATCCTTATAACCATTTTTTTTTTTTTTGAGCTCTATATCTGATCAGAATTGCTTGCCTCCTCTTCATTTAGCTGTTGTTCTGGAGGTGTCTCCCATTCTTTAATTTGAAGCTTTTTTTTTTTTTTTTTTTTTTTGGTCTCAACATTTTGGCTGCCTTTTTGTGTTGGTTTCTGTGTAGTAGGTGGATCTGCCATGACTCCCAGTTCTGATATAGGGTGGCTTATGTAGTAGGTGTCCTGTGGGATCCAGTTGCACAGTTTCCTTGATAACCTGATCTGGGTGCTCCTGGAATGTCCCTTGTGGGGATTATGTGGGTTCTCCCTTATAATTGAGTCTTGATTGCTGTTGGCCCGTTTGTGTGTGGGGTTGATCCTCAGGCTGCCTGGCTGTGTGAGGCTCAACACCGACCACAGTGCGTGAGCTGCTGGGCAGGTGCTGACCACCCAGAGTAGATTTTGTCTCTTTGTAAAGTCTGGTGCCTGTCGTGATCCCTCTTTGGATGTGCCACTTGTGAAGCTAATTGGATCTTGCTCTGATGTCGTCTGAAGCTGGCCACCGGGTATGTTGGTCATGGGGCCTCTTGTGGCAGACCGTGGTGCCAGCCAGTGCCAGACGCTGCCTGTGACTGGCCCTGGGCAACCCGTTTTGAGTTACAAAACAAACCACAGTTTGTGGCTGCCTCTGCCTCAAGACCCACCTCCACACGCCCCTACCTGCTGGCTGTCTATTAGGCGCAGTCACGGAAAGAGGCCCTGCCAGTACTTGAGTTACATGAGGCAGGTTCTCAGTGAGTAACCAGGCTGAGGTGAGCGGTGTTTACCAGACTGGTAACAGGTTTGAACTTGGGGTCAGTGTTGGGTCTTAAGCCCCTCAGCACATGGTCCAGAATGTACCAGGTCTAACTCCCCTCTGCTGGGGGCTCACGCGTCTTGGAGCAGTGTACAAGGCACTCAGACCTGGCTTTCTCTGTAAGAGCTGAATTGAAAAATTGAAACAGGCCACATCCCGGGACTTAAGGTGTCCAGGATCTGTAGTCTGAGATCAGCCATGTGAGCGCAAGGGCTCCGCAGGGCGTCTGTGGGTTCTCAGAGGCCAGCGAGCTGCTTCCTGCCGTGGCAACTCATGGGTCCCCTGAGATGCGACGATGGAGGGAGAGCATGGTGGGGTCATGCAGCCGTGATCCCATCACCGTGTCATGAAAAATGTAGTCCCCTCACGTTTGGCTGATCCTGGCAGATGTCTTCCTCCATTTCCTTCCTAAGAGAGCTACAGCTCTGCCCAGAGGGCCAACCAGATGCCTGTTCACTGGCTGCTTGGGCAGCACCTTCTTGGCCTTCTGCCCCCAGGGCTAGGTGAGCCAGGCGGGCTGGGGTTGCAGGGGCGAATGAGGTGCGGGGGAGCAGTGGCACATGAAGGTGTCTGGGGTGGGTTGAAAATGCTCTCCAAACCATTAAAGCCAAAATTTAAAGAAAATTTGTGTGTGTCTTCTCCCACATTAGACCTAAGCAGCCAAAGTGAATGCTTAGCACACTCCGAAGGAAGCAGAGTTCTGCCTTGCACCAGTGCCGGAAGCCACCAGAATGGTGTTGGAGGCACCCGGAAAAGAACAGGTCACTCCTCTCTCAGCAGCGAGTCTGCCTGACTCGCTGCTGGAGCCAGGGAGGCTTTTAGACACGAGAATGACATGATCTGAGAGGCATTTTTTAAAGATCACTCTGATGTACATTTTTATTTATATATTTTTAATTCAATTTGTTTTACTTCATTTATTTTTATATTTTTAATAATTTTTTTCCTTTTTCCAAAAATTGCACCAACGTAAAGCAAAGCTTTAGTTGATGCGAGTGTGTTGTTAATGCGTTAGCAGTGCTGTCTTCACTACACACTGGGCAGTAGCACAACCCCAAGAAAAGGATGGTTAATCTTTAAAAAACTTTAAATTAGAGTTCACATTCAGTATTAGTTTCAGGTATACAGACAGCATAGTGATTAGACATTTATAAAATGTACAAAGTGATCCCTCCGATAAATCTAGCATGGGGTCTCTTTTTAAAAGGATATTGATCCCATTCATGAGGGCTTCACCCTCATGATCTAATCACTCTCAAAGGCCCCTACCTTTTATCTCTTTTTAGTTGAATTTATTGGGGTGACATTAGTTAATAAAATGACATAGGTTTCAGGTATACAATGCTATGCTGCACCCTCTGAATCCCGTGTGTTCACCACCCCGTCTCCTTCCATCATCATGTATTTGTCCTGTATCCTCTGCTATTTCCCCCCACCCCTTCCCCCTCTGGAGGTCGCTCTGTGATTTGACATTTGAAATGACATATGAGATGTGTCTTGAGAATATGTAGGATTTAGACTGGCGGTTTTCAGCCGGGGTGCTGCAGCACACTGGTGTGCTGCAAGAATTTTTAAAACATGCAATATTTGACTAAGTCAGGAACTCTGGTCTCTTTTCAAGGCTTTTATCATTCTTTTCTTTTTTTCTCATTTCTCCTTTTTCTCTCTCTCTCTTTTTTCTCTTTTCTTAGATGTTTCTAATGAGTTGACTATCCCATTTCCTAAGTTCTGAAATGGCCAACAGACCACAGCAAGACAATTTTTTAGGCTCCTGCTTGAAACCACATTGTCATTTTTTAAATTTGACAATCTAAGGGAAAAGTGTCAGTGCCCCTAACTAAAAAGTCAAGTATTTCATGTATTGAAAGTCTGTGTGGCACACCAGATGAAAATCGCTCACTTAGGCAGATGAAGAGGGCGAGGTGCGCTTCAGGTACAGAGAGTGGGCACGCAGCCAGTGGGCACGCAGCCAGTGGGCACGCAGCCAGGGGGCAGGAGAGATGAAGACAGCAGACCGGAGCCACTGCCCCCCAGCGGGCTGTGAGCAAGGGGACAGCGCTGGGGAACGGGAAGACCCTCTGTGAAAAAGGGAGGGAGGGGGACAGGGGATCCTCCATAGAGCAGGGGAATGGAAGATGGGGAAGGTGCAGGGCAGGAGGGCGGGGGAGGGTGGAGGACCGCGGGGGACCGTGGGAGGGGCGTGGAGGGGAAGATGGGATCCTGGGAGGGGCAGGGAAGGGGGCAGGGTGAGGACAGGGGACCCTCAATGGATAGGGCCGCGTCTCCTGTCACATGTCCCTCATCTGGCCTTCTTGTACTTATCCATCCACAAAAGGTCCCCTGTCATCCCTATCTTACCCAAGTCACAGAGGGTCCCCTATTCCCCCTGCCCTGCCCTCTTCATGGAGGGTCCCGCAACCCTCTCTTTGCTGCCCCTTCCGTGGCTGGCCCCCTGCCCCCTCTGCCTTGTTCCCTCCATGGAGGGTCCCCTACACACCAACCCCCGTCCTGCTCCCTCCATGGGGGGTCTCCACCCCTTCCCCCCTGCCCTGTTCCCTCCATGGAGGGTCCCCTATCCACACAGCTCTAACCCCCTCCATGGAGGATCCCCTACCCCCTCTTCCCTGCCCCCTCCATGGAGGGTCCTCTATGCCCCCTACCCTTTTCTCTCCATGGAGGGTCCCCTACCCCCTCTGCCCTGATACCTCCATGGAGTGTCCCCTACCTGCTCTTGCCCTGCCCCTTCCATGGAGGGTCCCCTATGCCCCCTGCCCTGTCCCTTCCATGGAGGATCTTCTGTTCCACTGCCCTGTCCATCACTCACAGCCCTCTTCGTGGTGTGTGCTCTGGTCTCTGGTCTTCATTCCTTCTGCCTCTGGCCCATGTGCCCAGGTCTCTGTACCTGAAAGCACTTGACTCACCGTCTTCATCTCTCTACATTCTACCTGTGCTCTCAAGGGGCATCTTAAATAAATTTCAAATGTCAAATCACAGCACGATCTTTAAAAATATAAATCAGATTGTATCATTCTCGTGTCTAAAAGTTTTAATGATTGTGATAGCATTTTCAACTCACCTGTCCATTTGCCTTGGCCTACACCCCAGCCAGCCTGGCTGTCCCTGTCCTGGGGGTACTTGCTGTCCCTTTTGGGGAAGCTTCCCCAGTTCTCCATGTGGCCAGCTCTGTATCAACAGCCACGTCTGAGTTTGAATATGATAAGATCCTGGGGATCCCTTCCCTGACCCTGCTGGGGAGTCACTGCAGAGGTCCCACCCCAGCACTGTGTGGTATCTTGTGGCAACAGGTCATAGAGCTAAAGCAGGTCACAATGGTAAGACAGGTCATAGAGGTAACCTGGCAACCATCCTGGGTAAGCCAGGGGGGCCAATATAACCAGTTGAGGCTGGATGAAGGGACCACGGGCCAAGGTTTTCAGGGGTCCCTGGAAGCCAGAAGTGGCTTTGGTAGGGACATGGGAGGGAAACGTCGCAGCTGGAGCAGATTCTGCCAGCACCACGTCAGCAGGGGATGGGGCCTCCCAGAGCCTCCCGGGTAGAAACACATGAATATGGAAAGATTGTTGTTTACCTGAAATTCAGTTTAATTGGGTGCCCTATTCACAAGGCCTCCAAGTCCAGGGTACCAGGAAGCTGGCCTCAGGTTTCTGACCCACAGCACCTGTGGTGGATCGTGCACTTAGTGGTGTGCACCAGTCTGAGGCCATCTGTTAGGGCCACAATAGAAAATCAGTATTGTCCCTACCACTCCCTAGTCACATCGCCTAAGTCTGTTTTCTTCATGACTTAGTATCTTCCAAAATTCAGTGCTGTTCTGGTTTGCCAGTCTGTCTCTTAGCCCCTCTCAGCACCTGAAAGGCGGCCTCTGAAAGCCCCGCCCCCAAGACCCAGGCACCGCGAAGGCCGCAGAGGAGCGGACGGCAACATGTGTTGAATGAGTTCAGGAGTGAAGGGCTCTACCCTGATTTTATAACATTTTATTTTTGTAATAAAACTGATTCATTAACCTGTAAATAGATATGAGTTCTTCCACCTCATTAGGACATCCCAGATAAATACATTCATGAATGAAAAAATCTTACTGTTTTGTAAAAACCTGCTTGTCAGTTTTTGGTTCAGAGATGCAGTTGCTGCCCTGTGGGCTGCTTCACGGTGGGAGAGGGTCCTGATTGCAGACGGGCTCACACCAGTAGGTGCCTCCTGTCCCCGGTCCCCACACACCAGCCCTTGGCCTCTGGTGGTCAGTTGACCCTGGTGTTTCTTCTGGCGGGGCGGGAGACTCCCATCCTGGGGCTGTGACGGCCCTGGTGATCTTAGCCCCTTGAGTTTGAGTTTTCATTCATTTCTTACTTGGGGACCAGGAATTGAGGCCCGTGGGGGTCAGGGCGGGTCATATGCTCTGTGCTCATGGCTGCAGGCCCATGGCGGGGCAGAGAGTGTGTGGGGGCTCCCCGAAGCCCCCCACTAGCTGGCCCACAGCCCGGCCATCTCCCCAACAGCAACTCCCCTCCAGTTCCATTGGGAGTCCCTAGGAACAGTTTCAGGGACACAGTGATGACAGAACAGCCCCTGCCTCTGGCCACAGGCGTTGCTGAGGTTGAAACCTGAGTTGAGATGACCTTTCTTACCTGTGGTCTTGGTGGTGAGGACTGAGCAGCGGGGTCTGAGGGCCACCAAGTGGCCAAGCTTAGGGGGCTACAGCTGACTGAGGCTTGAAGTGTTTGGGCTGGAGGGGTGGCTCTACCAGGGACTCACGTGTCCTGGCCCCTCGGGGGTGGCCTGGGGTTGCCCCTCCTGGTCCTGACCTGCCCCTGGGCCATGCTTGCTCAGCTCCATGGCTTGACAAGTAGGGGTACCAGATACATCAAATCTAGCAAAATACTGCATGAATACGGAAAGATTGTTGTTTATCTGAAATTCGGTTTAATTGGATGCCCTATTCACAAGGCCTCCAAGTCCAGGGTACCAGGAACCCGGCCTCAGACTTTGGATCCTGGGTGGCCCATGAAAAATTAGGTGCTCCTGCAGGCCTCAGTCTCCCAGTCTGTCAAATGGGATGGAACAGAAAGCTGCTCTGTAATTCAGGCCCAAGCAGCTCAGAAACCCTCTCCAGGAGGCCTTAAGGAATCCAGACGTCCAGGCCCGAGAAGGCTCTTCTTTCTATGGCCACCAGGGGGCAACAGCACCCACTGCGTGAGGCTCCTCTGCAGGTACTGAGCCCGGAACCCTGACCAGGTTGTCAGGTCACTCAATCTCTCAGCAAATGCTGGCAGAGCCCATTGGGAGAGGAGGGCTGTGGGGACAGGAGTGTGGCCTGACAGGGAGATCCAGCCCCTGACACATGAGGGTATCCAGGGATTTGAGGAAGGTGCTCCCAGCAGCCTTGTTTCCACACCAGGCTGCTGCTACCCCCAGACCCTTCCTGAGCCCCCAGCAGGGGAAGCCCATCCGCAGCTCAGGCCTGGCCCTCCTGCCTCAGGCCCAGTGAACAGCTGGTGGGTCTCTGCAGCCTGTCTTCTTGTGCCTTCTGCTGTCGGGAGTGGGCAGTGCCTGCCCCCCAGTGCCCTGCTGTCATGCCATCAGGGTCCCCGCAACCTTGGGCTCTGCTCCCAGCCTGCCCTGCCCTGGCTGTGCAGCAGGTGAGGGCTGTGGGAAGCAGGGTGCTGCTCTTGCTTCTCCCCACCCACACCCGCTCCCTGCACTGGCCCTGAAGCCAGGGTTCAGATCCTTGTCGCCACCCACCAGTACCAGTGCTGCCTGCTCCCCACCTCTGTGAGGCTCCATCTGAGTTCTTTCCAGCCTGGGGCTGCCTGATGGGGTACCTAGTCCTGGCCCTGGCTCTGGGCCCACGTCTAGAGGAGCCAGGGGCCCCTCCCAGAGCCCTCTCTGAGACAGAGTTGGGGAGATCCTGTCCCATGAGGAGGCTTTGCACACCCCAGGGGTTTTTGCACAACGTTCCCTCCCAGGACTAGCTGGGCAGCATGGTGGTGGCTGTGTGGAGGCCTGGCTGACCGCCGGAACCAGGACATTCTGACCTGGGCCAGCTCCCAGA